TTCTGCAACACAGTGCCAATATATTCTACAGATGGATATGTGTAGTGTGCATGGGTAGCTGGATAGTAATCAGTTATTTAACATTATCTCCAGTAGCTAGCTTTTTGTTTAACCTGTCATTGGTCACTTAGGTTCAATTGAATTATTTTTACTTTATTTCCAACCCCTTTTATTGTCAGTTAAAGCCTGCGCACCATTCCTATGCATTGTGTACCTGAGGTATAATCACCAGCAGCAGAGGTTGCTAGGAAAACTCTGCTGGTCAATCCTCTTAACACGGAATAGAAAAAAAGACTGTTCTTCACAATAAATCTGTAAAACAATTCCCTTGGTAAAATCAGCTACACTGGAAAAAGAACTTGCTAGTATTTTTGTAAGCTAGTGCTTTTGGCTGCTATTTTTGTCTATTTTTTGTTGGTTAAAAAATGAAAATAGAAAATCCCACCCCAGCCAAGTGCACCAGCCCCCTGGAACTTCCTAGCACAGCCGTGATGCGAGTCTTTGCAGCCCTGTCTTCCTCGGCAGACCCATGTCAGAGAAGCATCAGTGCTGTGTTTGGTCCTCAGCACTGGGACCGGACTGAAGGATCGCTCAGCATCCCTTCTGGCCTGTCATCTGACGTGTTCTTATCTTCCTCTTCTTACCATTTTTTTCCCCCCATTGAAAACAAATAAAGTCATTAGAAGTTTTCTTCAGGCAGAGGGAGGAGCAGAGACAAAGTATGCAATAAGTTTTGTCTGAACTGTTTTCCTTTCATAATGCATGCCCTGGAGCTGTGTGCTTAGCTGTGTTCTGTGTAATTGTGCCTATTACCACAAAGCCTTCGTGACCTGCCCAGGAGAGCATCGCGCCCCAGCCCTAGCTCTGCCGAAGCAGTAGGCGAGCTGCTTTCATGAGCCAGCCAGTTCTGCATCACGACAACTGAGCTTGTCCCTGTTCCTCCCTCCTATAGTGTCCTTCTGAAGATGCTCAGTTTCAACCTGACAGCTTCTATATTTGTATATTTACTGTATATTGCTGTATATTTAACAGTTATGCCAGGATGTGTTTTTTGCTGTCTTGTGATAATCTGCCTCTTCTGTCCCATGCAGTGTGTGCACACTCGGGGCATGCAGCCTGGCCCTTTTCTGGGGATGTTCCCACTTTCCAGCTGGGAACTTTCCTACCCCGGGCAGGGAAGAGCCAGGGACAGATTGAGGACAAGAGGAGAAGGACAAAAGGATGAGGAAGATGAGGAGGATGAGGGGCTGAGGCAAGGAAGAGTGGCCTGAAGCTGAATGTGAAGCAAGGCATTAGGAACAGGAGCAGGGAATATGGGCAGAAATAGGCAAGAAAAAGCCAGGAGTGGCAGAAATGCAAACGAGGGGCTTGGAAGCAGAAAGCTGAAAGTGGCTGGAGCAGAGGCTGGGGTGCAGATACCTGGACAAGGGATGATTTTGTCTTGAAGATCAGCTACAGAACGGAAGGCCTGGGCACTGACAACTAGGATTGCCTAAGTGAGCAAAATCAGGCAAAGTGCTAAGAGAGAGATTGAAAGGGATGGGGGTCACAGCCTCTGAAATAACAGAGAAGGCTGTCCACCAGAAAACATTTTGTCCTAAACTGGGACTTTAAATGCAACTGTTCCTCTGTGGTCAGCAAATATCTGTGAAAACGTCTGATCGTTCTGTAATGCTGGTGCTCAAAAAGGATCACAGCCTATTCATGCTCTCACTTAGTGTGTGAGTGCAAGTCACTGCAGTGCCCATAGTGGTGCCAAAAATAAAGGCCTGCTCTTTAGCCTTTGGATGCCTGTGTAATGCCACGTGATCCATTTCCAGTTTGTTTGTGCTCTGAGGCTTCTATTTCTTTTTTTAAGGGTGTAAAAGTACTTAATAGGATTAATATTTGCAGTCCTATTTATATTTTGAAGCTGCACACAGAAAATATAAGGAATTTTGGGATGCCTATTTAAGCTTTATTAAGATAGAGTATTTGTGTGTGCTGTGATTCAGATCTCAATGGCAGGATAATATCCAGCTGTTTTCAGGGGACTTTGGTGTTGCTTATTGTTCAGAATAAACCCGATCTGAGGATGCAAATGGCATAAGCAGTGAGATACACTTCTGGAGATCTGGCAATTTATTTCAGTATTTGAAAACTGGGATTGTAGAGAGGGCAAGGATTGCAAGAGGGATGGTCTCGTAATTAAGAAAATTGAAGGAGATCTTGGAGTCTGGTATGTCTCTTCCACCCACCGTTTTTATTTCTGTACCCTTGCTTCATGTCTGCCCCTTTCTGAGGACCTGCCTTGGGGTTCCTGAAGAAATACTGAGCACTCGCAGCTGCAACCGAAGTTACCATTTGAGCACATGAAATGCTGCACAATGCTAAACATCCTGGGAGAGCAAGTCCTAAACGGCTCAGATTGTGTTTCTGAAATTTACTCATGCCTTTTACCATATTTTTTATGTGCCTCGATTCCCTGCCCATGAAATGGAGGTAACTTTGCTGCCGTATCCCACAGGAATATTAGGAAAATAGCACAGTTGGTGTTTGTGGAGGATTCAAGTGCTATATGCTGACATGTGCTATTGAAAAGCCGTTCTGCCTTCGGAGCAAGGTTTGAATGGTGTACAATAAATACGTCAGAAAAGTTCAGAGTAAACAATGACAAGAAAAAAAATACTGAATAGCTGGGCACTAAATGAGCAGTGTGCATCCTCATCCCTGAATAAGATGGGAGAAAAAGCATCGTGTGTGCAGCTAACCACTGTATCATGGCAAATCCAGCTGTAAAAGCTTAACTCAGCCCCGCTCTCCAACCTTAGCATCTTGCATTTTAACTTTTCCCATCTGAGTCTTTGTGGATTTATAAATCTTCTTTGTTTTCTGTCTCTAATACATTTTAGTGGACAAGCACAGCATGGAATAAGAGGCTGCGAGTATGTCAAAGATTTTGTGTTTTGTTCTGAAACGAGTTTGCTGAGTCTCGGGGCTGTTTGCTCTTAATCGCCTCATTCCAAATCTGTGTGGCAGACTTGTCAAAAAGGTCAATAACTGAAAAACAAAAAAAAAAAACAAAAAAAAAACAAAGAAAATTATGCTGTGTTTCCCTTGCGTCTTCCCCGGTGAGGACAGAGACAGCCACGGGGAGCGGGAGCAGGCGGGACTGTTCACTTGCACATCCCACACACCAGGTGCCCTCTACCCTGTTAGCAGAGTGCTGAATACTTTTTGGGGAGGGAAATGCGATGGAAAGATCTCCTGAGTGCTCCCCTGTGCTTTCGGCAAGAAGCCGTTCAACACTGGCTTTTCCTCACCCTCTGCTTTCCTCCCGTGTGCCCCAAGCAATCCCAGTGGTACCTCGGCTCTTTCTCAGCAGGCCACCACAGCAGGCGTGTGCCCTTCTTTGGATTTTCTCCATGTAGAAATGGGACCTTGAGGACTGCAGTTGATGTCCACAGCTGTGCCTGACCTTTGTAGGAGCGAGCGGGGAACTGTAGGTGCAATTTGCCATGCCAGGACTCCGATTCAACCGGCTGAAAGGCAAGAGCCCCACTAGTGGTACCCACAGGGGGGCTTTTCACATACCTCAACGGTGGGATTTCCCACGTGCTTCTCTGGCAACATGCAGCACTTGGGCGGGCACATATCTTGTGTTTCTGCTCTCAGATGTGCCCCTCGGCCCGGTGTGGGCTGTGTGTGTCATGCCACGCACATCCCCTTGCCGCCAGGACCCCACTGATGCACCCCTCCCAGCTGCCTGGCCACACGGCCAGCAGCGAGCTGAACACACTGCAAATAGGGATGCTTTCCTGTGCTTTTCCTATTGAATCCTTACCTGAAGGGAGAGGGGATCCTGTGAAAGTTGCAAAGGTATCGAATAAAGGGTGGCTGTGTATATTGCTGTGTGCTGACAAAAGCACAAATACAGCAAAAGTAGACAATAAGCATGGTCTACGCAGCCCGATAGTTTTGCAGCCATTGCTGTTATCCTGCTCCCTCCAGAAAGCCACGCAGCGTTGCCTCTGCCTACTAAATCTTTCAAGAAATACGCTTCTTCCATGATAGCAGTTTCATAAATTATTGCACTGTAAGATGCTCAGCTGTCTCAGCTGCCTGGCTTTCAGAACTGCACTGTGTCCAAAAGCCAGCCAGTAATTATCAAACTAAAGGCTCGGTTTTCTGCTAATTTTGCCTTACTTTACAAAAGATAAATCATAATATCACGCCTTTCATGTAAAGGCATCCTCAGAGGGGGAGTTGTAGTATTTTTGTCATAGCCAAACTGTAATGTTTGTTGTGCAAGAACTGCGTGCTTGTGGACAACGGCATAACCCGTGCCTCAGTTTCCTCATCTGCAAAATGGCTGTAATGTCCCTACAGCTCAGAGGGGAAGGCAAAGTTTATTTAGCGTATATGATTGCCTTATGGAAATGCAGCTGCTATTGTTGTTTGCTTTTATTGAAAGCTGTCAGTAGAATATGAAGATGAAACACTTGGCAGAATTGTGTTGCAGTTCGGGTGATCCCTCTGTATCTTTTGTCCATCGTATCATTTATTTTCAAACTCCATCACGTAAGTGTGTGAAATAAAATGATATGTACATTGTCATGGCATAGAAATCCAAGGATTTAATGTAGCTGGTGATATAGAGGCAAAACATTTGTTTTCAAGGGAAAGTTGTGCAGATATAATTAAATACCTTGAGCAAATCTGGGTTTTGTTTAGAAAATTTCCATGGGAAGAATATGTTGCAATTTACAGAATCCAGTATCTTGAAGTACACAATGAAAACATACAAAGCTATTTCTCGGTCCAGCTAAAAGCACATATGGGTAGATCTTATTTGTGTGAGTAACATCACTGAATTGGGAAGAAGAGTGCATTTTGAAATACGCTACGGAAAATAAATTCTACTGCCATCAATCTTTCTTTTTTTTCTCTCTGTTTTCTCTCTCTTTCTTTTCTCTCTGCCTCTCTCTCTCTCTCTCCCTCCTGAAAATCTCCTGCCACAGCGCCTGCACTTGCCTCCAGACTTGTCAGACACAGTGAGCCGCTCAAGCAAACAGGATCTGGCAGAATCCGCCAAACTGCTGAGCTCAGGATGTGGTGCTATGGCCATCGGCAAGAAGCACCTGGACTTCTAGTGATTTCTACTTAGCAGTTTCACTCAGATTTATATGACACTCTAATTATGAGTGATAATGACTTATATAAATATTTTTCTTAATGATTTGCCCCAGCAGTCTTTAAAAATACACATTATCATATGATGCCTTATTTTCCTCGTTCTGGTTTCATTGTATTAATTTGGGGCTTGGTCGGTTTTTGCTTTTTGTTAAATCTTCTGTTATGTTGGGTCTTGACATTGTTCAGCCCTCTTGGAAATGTAGTGTTTCTTCCTTTCCTTCAGATATGAAAATTACTTGTAATCCTTCAATTCTGTGTTTTTTTACAATAAAGATAAAGGGATTTTTTTCCCAATGGATTTTTTTGTATGCATGCATTTAATATTTTGTATGAATAAATTGGGCTGTTTATTGAAATGAATTAATGAAAGTTATTCATTGTCACATGTTATTCCAAGAACAAACTGCACATTTATTTTTCTTAAAAACATTTGTTTTTGTAATTGAAATACTGTATTCAATTTCAGAAAATGCTTAAGGTGTTTTATAAAATACATAATAATAAATATAAAATACATGAGGTAGTTTTTATTCTGATATGCCAGTAGTTGAGAATGTTGGTGGTTTTTTGTTGTTGTTTTTTTGTGTTTTTTTTTTTTTTTATCAGAATATATTATAGGTGATTAGTTTGCCTCATGGGTTAATACATGTATTAAAATGCACTTGAATGAAATTTACTAAACGTAGAAAAAAGAATTGATTTCCTTATGTAGTTCAAAACAGTAATCCTAAACAATTGAAGTCAGCACTATGAAATTATGTCAACAGACATAATTCAAGATTGAAATTCAAACTGACAGCTACATTAATGCTAGAATACCAGAAGAGTGCATTTCAGCTTGGGGAAGAGTATCACAGCATGCTGGTCTAAAACAGGGCAGAACATAGAAGTAATTCAGGCTTCTGTACCGTCAAATCTATCTATATACTGCTTGTGAACTTACCACTATTTTGTATTCATCTCTGTGTAAGTAGCATCAAACAAAAGAAAGGTAAAGCAATGCTGACCTGTAAATTAAAGTGGTTTTCATTCTTTCTTCTGAGGCTGCCTTCCATTTTGAAAGGTAATATATTCTTCCCCGCCGAACTTGCAAGCCATCCAACTGTAAGATTGCATTACAGTTTCAAAATTTCGTCTTTCTAATAGTATATTACATGGCTGGAGTGAAATTGACTCTTCAGAGAACATGTTAATATGATGCAGTAATGTTAACTTATTTTGATGGGTTGGGAACCAAGAGTTGGTTAAGTGGTTTGCTTTTTTTTATGCAATACAGGTTCTACTTTATTTTTTCTTGACAACGCCGTGTAAAACAAAGACATAGCTTTTAAAACTGTCTAACTAATATGATGAATGTCAATCACTTAAAAAACTCCACTGTAGCATAAACACATACTGTATACAGCTTTTATTCTGAATTAGAATAATTGAATCAATGACAGTGATTTGCCAGGATGTCAAATCTATCCATCATATCCTGTCACTACCAGTTTATTTTTTGTGATCAAAATCAAAAAGACTACTATTTTGTCATCAGCTATTTCATTAGTAGTAACAATCAGGTTTTCTCTTCTATATTTTTTAGATATGCCTGTTAAATTTCTTATTTCTAAAGACACAAATCCTTTTTAAATCTTTTCAAAATAAAGTTTCAGAACTGAACTGTCAGTTTAATAAAGCAAAAAGACATCTTCTTTCCTATGCCAATATATTTAAAATATTATCATTGATGTCTCAAACATTTTTTCTCTTTTTTGCATTATGCGTTACATTGAATGGAAGTTCTCATTAGATACTTAATTGTGCCTTTTGAAAGCATGAAATAATTTAAACGCTTAGGATAGAGTGATTTTTAACAAAGGCAAAGTTTTACATATTTCGTCTTTTTAATGTAAATAACACACAACATAGTACTTCTTTGTGAAATACAAAGTCACAAGACACATAAATTGCTGCCAACATACAGAAATAGGTCATTGACCTAACGTATGGGAGAGAAAATATCATGAAAATCACAGATGATTTCTAGCTACCATATTAACTGAAAATGATTAGCAAGTAGTGTGGGTATCACACACACGTGTGCAATTCCTGTGCATTTATAAAACTTGAATTTCAGAAACTTCCATAGGTTAATATTACTGATGACAAATATTTTGAGTAATAAAGGGAACTCCTTCTGCAAATCTGGATTTTTTTTTTCTGATTCACTAACCATGCTTTGTGAAATGTGTCACAGTATACAGATGCGCCGTGTTGTTTACCTAAGGCAAAAACATGTAGCAAAATTTCTCTTCTTTTCTTCCAAAATATTGTATCAGTTACAACAACATATGACAGTGACTTGGCTAATCCATAAACGGAGAAGTGAAATGATGCCACGTACGTGCTACGCGGTGTACGTAAGGTGCAGGTTTTGTTTCTTGCACCAGAAGACCCCTGGCTCTCATTTTGGCTTGGGAAGCAGTAGAAGTGGTGATTTTCTGACAGATTTCCCCAAGCCATCCTGCGACTGTCAAGCTCCTGTACACACACACAAAAAAAAAATAAAATAAAATAAAATAAAATAAAAAATCCTTCTGTTCTTTCTTCGCTTGGCTTGAAGACAAATATTTAACTAAGGAGTGCAGCTCGGGTAATCGAAGAAAGGATGTGGCCTCTTTTGACGGGCTGTTGCAGTGTGCTACCAGCTTCCTCAGAGCCCCTTGCTGGATGGAAAATGTGTGCAGCCCCTCTTGTGTTCAGAGGGCTCTTCTCTGTAGAGATTTTGGTTCAAGGTTTTTTTTGTTTGTTGTCATACTTTAGGCACAACTTCCTATTTTTTAACAGGTTGCAAACTGAAACCACCAAACTCAACAGGGAAAGAATGGATTCATTGCAGTGACAATGCTCCCAATGCAGAGCTGGCGCCTGAGCTTTACATAGTTGTGACACACAGTCAAGAAAGCAGTAATGAAATTTAAAACATTGTGTCTTTAATATGTCAGATAAGAATGCTTTATGTATTTTCTGTTGTGTTAAGGTTTTCAAAATATAAGCATTTGGAATATGAGAAGAATATTGTGATAGATTAAGTCTTTTGCTATGTTTGTAAAGAAATTACAAAAGCAATTTCAAGGCTGCAGCTGAATTCAGTTTTCTGTAACAGTAGCTACAAGCATCTGAAAATGGGCATTCACCTACTTCAGATTTGATACAGATGGTGGTACGCCACTGGTTTCATCTTTGATAAAAAGCAGTGATGTTGTTCCAAACACAGCTTTTGGAAAAGTGCTTTTTTTTTTAAAAAAAAAAAAAAAAAAAAAAAAAAGAGCTTTTGGAAAGTGGAAAAGTCTCGTTTACAGGAATCCTATCCAATAGCAATATCGGAAAGTGGGCTGTTAATCAAGTCTGTCTGAAACCACAAGGTTGTAACACATCCCTTTAAAAATACATATGTATTATAAATATTACACACACACGTTAAACCACTATTTCTCCAGGACTGAATGTTAGAAATTTAGTAAAATGTTCTTCTTTTGCCTGTGCTAGAGAAATACTGTCCGTAACTACAGAGCACACAAAGAATGGGAAAGATGGTGATGAAAGAGGTGGCGAAAGCAAGCACTGTCCCCCATTACATCTCTTCGGGGGGTTTATTTTCTGTTGTAAGCTACCTGAGTGCAGGGCCTGCATTTCTTTTTTAATCACACTGAGCACATGATGGTGCTTATTCAATAATAAATGGGCCGGTGTAGAAAAAGAATGAAAGTGAATCCTCTTCATCTTAAGACAAAAAGGCAACACGAATGAGCGGGAGAGAAATCCCACCGTAATTACTTTCAGTTTCTAGAAAATACTAAGCTCAGTCTTTTTCCAAAAATGGTTCATTAAGACCATGGATGGCTACATCTGTATTTCCACATCTGAGTAGGTAGACAGATTTTCAGAAGTGTCGAGCATCAAGCATCCCAGAGCATCTGCTGAAAACTTGGCTGCTTACTTAAACTCTGCTTTGAAACAGTTTTGAAAGTTATTAGGCATATTGAACTAATTTTCAGACCTGCTGTTCATATCAAAATGAAGACATCTTTTGAGCTTTTATACTTTTTTTTTTTTTTTTTTTTGCAAATGGATATTCTGATGCTGTAGAGTTTAACCTAAAAATTCTGCCCAAGAAGTCAGTGATGATTTAGATGAGCAAGCTGGTAGGTTTGATCTGGCACAGTTTGATTTTCTACACTCAGAATGCTCTCAGCATTGAAGGCATCAGGTATTCCCTTAAAAAGTCTAGACACGGGCTGAGGTCAGTGCAGTTTCATCTACTTTTTTTTTTTTTTTTGACTCAGAGCAAACTGCAAAAGCTCTGGCTTGAATTTTGTTGGGGGCCAGACCGGGCATCATTCTTGCCGTGGGACTTGTACCACTGCAAAGCAAATTAGCCGTCCTTTGACACTGCACTCTTGGAGGCAGAGGAGAACCAAATGGTGGAGGAGACGGAGCCTTCCCCAGCAAAGGGTCACTGATACAGAGCCTCGGATGCACCGTAAATATGTTGGCTTCAAAGCAGCAGATAAAACTTTAGCCCAACACAACGCTGGGAAGGAGGATGCAAGAACAGGTAGCATGGTAGGCAGGCGTGATTAATGCATGGTGGAGACTGCAGTGGATAAACAGAGTGGAGGAATCTGTGTAAGGGAGCAGACGGGCAGGTCCGTTCTGCAGTCCTGGCCTGTACCAGGGCCTGTGGAGCTTTAGATGTCTCCTTGCCCAGACAGGTGTACATCAACACCAGCTGATGCAGAGCAGCTGAATCATGAATCAGAAACTCGTCAGGCCCAACAGAAGCTTGGTTTAAGGAAGGATTTCAGGGCTTGAACACACAGTTAGCAAAGGGGTAGTGTTGACTTGAATTCAGAAAAAATCAAAGCGGACAACTTGCTTCTTTAAAAGCAAAAAAAATATGAAATTTAAATGACTGATTTTTTATTTAATCCAATCTGACAGAGGGAGTTTTAAAAATAAATAAACCCTCCCCTGCAGTATTTGAATCACAAAGCTGCAGACTGCAGAATCTGGATGTGAAGCCAAGTTTGCAGAGAAAAACTTACAGGGTAAAAAATAAACAGTTACAGGGAAACAGAAAGTTTTTTCTTCACTTGTCATAAATGAACGTCTGCACTGTAATGACCTGGAGATGTTTATGGGCTGCGTGCAGCTCCATGTGAGTCATAATCCCGGTGCCCTATCTGTAATTTCTGCGGAATAACTGTTCATAAACTACTCAAAATCCAGCGGCGGAGGGCTGACACCAAAGAGCTTATCTGTGAATCTCCAAACTCCTCCGGCGCAGCTGGAAAAGCTCGTATGTCCCCGGAGAGGGGGAACCGCAATTCACAGCCCTTACAGCGTGTGGCTGCTGCAGTGTACGTGAGGTCTGTCAGGTGCCTGGAGGCAATTGCAACCTCTGCTGGAGGATTTCATGCAGCTTACAGCTCCTGTCAGGCACCTGGAGGTAACAGGAGGCCTCCTGGGTGGCTCACAGGCCCAGCGGGAGCAGCCCCGTGCCCCTCTGCTATGAAAACGTGGTCACCTTGCCAGGCCAGCATGGGGGATCTCGCCTCAGGGAGCAAGGGCCCTGAAACTGTCGCTGTCTGCAGGCAAAACCCAGCTGAGCAGGCTTGGCACCACTGCTGAAGGTTTGTGATGGGACTTCAGGGAAAGCACGTTTCACAGGGACTTCCCTTCAGAGGGCTGTCTTTGAAAGAAACAGCGAGGATTCTGGCACCTGGAGATTTCCTGCAAATCCGTCGCCCTTCACCTGTGTGCACTGAAAGACTGGTCCCATGGTTTCCTTTCTCCAAGTTCTCATTTCCACGGCCCTAGTGAAAACTCCTTCCTCATCCAGGTGATCACTGCTGAAAACCATCCGGGGACAGCAAGCGATCCCAAGCAATGCCTGCTGACTAAGAACACATTGCTTGCTTTTTTTTTTTTTTTTTTTTTTTTTTTTTGTTCTTCTAAGCGAATATTAGGGAAGGGATCAATTTAAC